CTCCATCTTAGGGCGCCGATCCTGACAATGCAGTCGGGCTGGCCGCCGCGGCTTTCTCCGTGCTTTCCTTGCGGCCGCCTTTTCCCGCATGCATATCTTTTGATTCGCATGCTAGGGGGCATGGGAGCCGGCAGGCTCGCGCATTACTGGACGCGAGAATCGCATGCGCATTATGGCGTCACCATCTGGGTGCGCCAGTCTCAACGACGGGCGCCGACCGCTCCTTCACCTGAACGACTCTGTCTCTAGGCGCAGGTCGCCACCTACCACGCCGCAACCGCGGAATCTCATCTCAGCACCACAACGAGCGCAATCTCTGCACCTCACAGAGCCTCGGTAGCGAGAAAAGGCCCAACCTCTGGCGACGTCGCCAAAAAGTGAGGGGATGGGGAGGGGCGTCGCCGCCGGCCGCAGGGTTCCGTCGCCGGCGTCCCCGGGCCGCCGCGACGCTGGGCGTCGCCAGAATCCGTCGCCAGGGGCAGGGAGTTGCCGTCGCTGGCATCGCCAGGACCATGCGTCACCAGCGTCGCACGTCACCACGGGGGCACCGGGTCCCAAGGGCACCCCGACGGGTGGGTGGGTGGGTGGGGGGGGGGGGGGGGGGGGGTGCGTGGCGGCACCCGTCGCCGGCGTCGTACGTCGCCAAGGGGGCCGTGGGCCCAAAGGTCCCCGGTGGCTGCGCGGCGACGCCCGTCGCCACAGGAGCACCGTCCCCAAGGGCCCCCAGGGGGGGCTGTGGGGCGACGCTTGTCGCCGGCGTCGCACCTCGCCACAGGGGCACCGGGCCCCAAGGGCACCCCGGTGGGGGTGCATGGCGACGCCTGTCGCGGGCGTCGCACGTCATGACATGAGCGCCGTGGGCTCCTAGGCCCCCTCTGGGGGGGGCAGAACTGCGTGGCAACGTGCGACCTGCGTTTGCGACCCTCACCCTGCGTTACCAGTGGAACACAAGCGTGTTGTCAAAATCGCGTTGCGTTCCAATTTCCTCAAATGCGTGAGGTGTCCTCTGAGAGTGCTGCTGTTTGCAGGTTGCCCAAGGAATTTGCGATGTTACTTGCCTTATTGCTTTAACTGTGTAGCTTTACTGTGGTGCTTGTCGCAAATGCACAGACTTTCTGTGGCAGAGAATTGGTGGACGATGTGCTGTGCTCCATTGCCATGGGCAATTTGAGCAGCCCGAATGAGTGGCAGACAGCAGCGCTGGCGCTTTGTGCTGCTCCAGAGGAACTGGTTGAGGTTAGTCATGCACATGTGCAATATCACAACTGCAGATAACAACATGAGGCTTTTGGAAAGTGAGCGCGGGGTACACGATGATTGCTTTGGGCACCTCGCGGACATCTCACTCATGTGCACTGCATCAACGTATTCATCAGAAATCGAATGCAATGAATATTTATCTTTTCGAGAACTGAGATGCATCAAACAGGAATCGCATGTTTCTGACCTGGACATCCTAGAACTGCCACAATCCATGTACTTGGTTCCCGGTTTGTTCAACGCATATTCCTTTCGTTATGTTTTGTTAAAAAGAGCCTTAAAACTAGGCCCCTCGGCAAATGCATATTTTAACATGTAAGAACGCAAAAGCAAAAACTTGAACACAAACACAAGAACCGAGCTTGTTAGCAGTGCCTATTCTATTTCGCCTGGGTCCAGTCATGGCACGAACTCCATTTGCTTGCGTCTGCCCGCAGATCCACTTGCTGAAATTGGGCAACAGCACACAATTTCTGAACAAGCTGCCTCGGCCACCCGAGCCAAATCAGCAGCGCGCTCCGCAACCTGCAGTCCATTGGCGCTGTCAGCAGGATCGACAAGCACGAAGGCAGCGGCAGGGCCGAGAAGCTGGAGCCACTGAGAATGCATCTAGCGCACCTGCCGGTTGACGTGCGGATTGGTGAGCGACTTGATTCAGAATCTTCGAATTGCTAGCCGGTTGTGTTTTGACCCGCTTGCCAGCAGAGAGTGTTCATCGCCATCTGAAGATTTGTTGCAAAAATGATGTCGGACAGCAACTGATGGAATAGCGGTGGGGAATAATGTTACAATATCCGTGCGGCGGCATGAGGCAGAGCTGCCATCGATATCAAGCCTGCCAACTTTACGCGTAAGCGATTCTGTAGCATTGCCTGCCAGTGTGGCAATTGCATGGTTGTGCCAAGGGGATTCAACGCCGCTGCAATATCATCCAGGCTCTCAAACGGTGATGATTCCGCGCTTCAATCCACTTGCAACCCTTCATGATCGGACTTGAACAGACTTTAGGATCGTGCTTCCATCTTCCATCACCGTAATTGTATCATTTCCCATAGTGGTGTGTCACGATTGATTTCGCCGCTGGACATTAGGAAACGCGCTGCAAAAATGATGCTGCTGTCGAGTGCCTGCATGGGCTCCCCTATTAGCTTCCTGTTGGATCAAATTGATCCCCAAGTTAACATTTGCATGCGCACTCTCAATGGGAAATGTAGATTATTCTATGTTTCGAAAATGGATACTTTGCTGCTAAGTTTGCTGACTAGCATCGATGACGAGCCGGCATGCTGCACGAATGCTGCTGGTGCTGGCCGCTTGTGTGGGCTGCTTGGCTCCTGCGCTGACCATTGCCGCCATCATGATCGGCCGATCCGTCTTTACAAACTGTCCCGATCAGGTTGAGCAGGCCGCGCATGTGAAGAAGCAGCTGGCAGCAAAAGGTATGACTGGGGCATGAAACCTCGAGTTTGGGATCTAAAACCTTCTACCATGTTGCAGGCCACAGTTTTTTTGTCCATCATCGCTGGATTACTATTTTGTCGTTTGCGCGATTCCGGAATGTTTCCGTTCACTGACCAATTCCTACGCATTGTCGTTTCTTCTGATATTTCTACAATATGAGGCTGTGCAGTGTACTCTGCGTTGCTGCGGTGCTGACTGCAAAATCTGTTCGAGTTTCGGCAACGCCAGGAAGGAAGGGCATGTCGTCAGCCCAGCAATACAAACCCTTCGCATTCATCTACTCTAGCAGAATTCAATTTCGTGCCCATGAACCAGCGTTGAGCATATGTGTTTACCAATTGTCAGATTTGCGCTGGTGTCAAAATTTTTTTTGAACTTACACGCAATTGGCATCATTGAATTCCATCGTTGAAACAAGGTGCACATTCTATCTCTTCAGGATGTAAGACTATCGCTTCGGGCCAGCAGTCCGACCACCTCCTCGTGGTGGCCGCATACGACGAGTGGTGCAAGGCCAGAAATTCATCCCGCGGCCAGCAGACCTCCCGCCAATTTGCCCGCGAGAAATTCCTTCATGTGCCCGCCCTGGAGGCCGTGGCAGAGCTGAGGGTGCAATTCGCGGAAATTTGGGTGGAGGGCAATTTGGTGAAAGGGGACGGGGCGAGGAGCGGCAGGCAGCGGCGGGGCCAGGCTCCTGACTGTCTGGATGATCGGATCAGGCCGTGAAACCGATATGCCGGCGAGCCTGCAGTTGTGAGGACCAAAATATGTGCTTATTTCCTTTATGTGTTTGTATTACACCATGTTTGTGCTACTATGGACACACAATAAAGGCATTTGGTAAATTCTATATTCCTGTTGTAAATGCACGCGATGCTAAGCTCTGTGGTTGTTGGCCTGCTGTAGTGGGACTAACGCCGCCAATGAGCGACTGCCAAGTCCGCTGATTGTAAATTCTGTTCCTATAGAAAAATTTCAATAAATAAGACGTTCTCTTGTTGCGTGTGCAGGGCAAGTCATCGATGTGCTTGCGTTGGAATTGAGCGAACTGGCGGATTCACCGGTTGCTTGATTTATTCATTTGTAGATGTCTATTAATTCGTCTGCTTTGGTTCCCTTCGTCCATGCTGTGTTGTATCAACACCGTTTGCATTGCCCGAGGCCAACCCAGTTCAGGGCAAGAGTTTGGCCCTGAGCCATGGAAATGGCTTTCACTCAGTTTTTTCTATCCAAGGGCGCATAATGATTTAAACTGTCTTTTACTTCGTTCAATTAATTGTATTATGCGCAGTAAAGTCTTCTGTAGTGCAGACTTCTATTTACGAGTACCGCTGTGTGTTCGCTGACCCTTCCTTGCGTGTCCCGGCAGTTGAAGGCACTGCTCTGCTCGGCCTTGTATCCCAACGTGGCCGTCATGCAGGAGTCCCCGGGACTGGACACGGCCCCTGAGTGGAACGACGGTCGCCAAATGGTGTCGATTCACACATCCTCCGTCAACCACAAACTCAGGGCCGCGGACCTGCACTTTCCTCAGCTTGTGTACCTGGAGAAGGTGTGCACGAAGAACGTGGATTGGGAAATATGAATTCTGCGAATTCGATTGCTCTGTCTTTATCCTGTGTCGGTCTCTCACCTGCGTGTGCCACGCTCGCAGGTCAAGACACAACACGTGGTTCTCCGCGAGTGCACCGTCGTCTCCCCCCTCGCCCTGCTCCTCTTCGGCGGCTCGCTGTCCGTGGCGCACACCGACGGCCTCGTGGCCATCGACGGCTGGCTGTCCGTCGCGGTGCCGGCTCCCATCGCCGTCATGATGAAGGCGCTGCGGCGCGTGCCGGGCGGGCTGATGGAGGAGAAGATCGCACGGCCGGGGGCAGACTTCTCAGAGTTCGACTCCGAGTTGTGGGTGCGCTTGTGGGACTGTTGAAGGATGAGGAAGCTGACCTCAGGTGGCGGCTGCTGTGACAGGGTCCTCTGGGTGATGAAAGCGGGCGCGTGAGACTGATGCCAGGTCCCATGAAATTGCGATCGGACGAAAATGGTTCCAATGAAGGGACGTGGGAATCGAGGAGCCGACGAATCGATGATTCGACGAATCTACGGATCGGCGATTTGGAGGGGTCGATGCATTGGCGAATCCACGCATGGACATATCAACAGATCGATGGGTTGACGAATCGGTGAAATGGGTCTCTTGAGACTCAGTCTATGGCACCAGCCACCACGAGTGCAAATCATTATAGATACTGAAGCGCGCCCGAATTGCTGGAAAGTATGATTTCCTTGACTGTTGTTCTATCGAATGAAGATACTGGCTTCGTGCGTTGGTTGCCTCCACGTGTTGGCTAGACTGATAACGTCGCGCTGTCCATGAATTTGGTGTGATGGACTTACGCTGATGCGTCATCTGCACATGAATCGACGACAGTGGTTCAATCGCATCAAAGGGCAATGTCAATTAGCATCGAGTCCGTGGATGAAAGTAGACTCCTAAACGTAGGTCGTGGGTGCGCTGGTGGGTCTGCTGAAGGACGAAGAAGCTGACCTCAGATTGTTCCTCCTGTTATGGACTCCTCCAGTTTGCGGGTGCGTGAGACTGAGATGGGGTGGGATCGAAGTAGGAGTCGACGAAAATGGGCACAATGAAAAGGCGCCGGAATCAGGGAGCCGACGAGTCGATTAGTGGACGTATCGATCGATACGATTATCGATTGATTAGCTACTATCGATCGGTGTATCGATCGCGGTCGATACATCGATCGATAATAGCCAATAACTTGAAACTCTTGATGGCGGCGATTCCATCCACGAGAATTGGTCCTAAACTGCTGAAAAGTTTCCAGAATTTGGGCGATCACCGCAGCTCGTTGGAGGAAGGTGGCTCAGGGCCTTCCGAATGCTCTGCTTCATTTGACGTGCGACCTCCTGAAGCTGTGAACAGGCCAAGGCGACACTTTACTCCTGCGTTTTGACTTCCGCACCACATTTCACGAACATCACAAAACACATGCATGGAGGAATGCCGATTGTAGCTTCTGGTGGTGAGCAACGCACCGACGTGCAGTGATTGCCATGAAGTCATTCCCAATAGATCAATCAACCAAGCAAGCTGGAAATGCAGTTGTACTACAAGCATGTAGTGGCATGTGCTGGGCGCCCTTCGTGGCTTTCACGTAAGCTGGAAACTATAGGGGCTGGAGTGCGCCCCTTGAATTTGAATTGACATTGGTAATACTCGTCTATATGGAAAGGTGCCATGTAAGCTGCTCCCTTTTGGAGTTCGGCAGAGGCTTGCGGCTGGTGCAGGGAGACGCCTTGGCTTGAGGGGACCTGGCGGCCTCAGCGTGAATCACACGGAGCGGTCCCCCCGAGGCGCCGTCTCTAGCGATCTCGCAGGTTGCGCGGGTGCCAGATATGGCATGGTTCTAGAACGATGCTATGAATGCTCGCCTGCAGGAAGTAGGATATCCAGTGCCGAGCACGGTGCAATTGTTGATGGGGTCGGGTAGCAGTAGGGCGATATGTGTTCAGGACAAGAAAGCTGCAATAGAAATGGGCCGACGATTCACCAAGCGCAAAGGATTTCGATGCTGGCAACACTCATTCTCCAATGTTCATTGCTTGCGATCAGAGTTCTGTGCCCCAACAGTTTGATCAGCCAACAAACAACCCCTTGGTTCCTTTTTCATGCCCACCTGGCCGTTCATGACTGCCTTTATCATGTCCAGACCCATCTGGAACTTCCTGTCGCCAGCACCAAGGCGCTACACACTGAAAATTTGCATCATTTTTTGAGATGTGCCAAAACATCATTGCAGACTTCAGGAAGACTGCGACAACCCCAACAATCTTCTCTTGACCTACACCTACCCACCAACCACGGATCAATTCTGGCCAGGCATTACTCAATCATTGTTGCCATTCACGATGGCATTCCACACTGTAACAGGCATACATCATATCTGCATCCGAGGCATTGGCGACCGAAAATGCACTACTCACCAGGCCTCCTCACGCCTGTTGTTCTTGCAATCGCGGTGGGAAATAATGCGAGGGGGAAGTTCACCTCAACGACCTGGTTATTCCATAGACTGCTGCAGGATCGGAAATGCCGAGAATGCAAAAGTTATACCGGCAATTCCAGGAATGCGTACAGAAGCCACACACATGCCATCAGAAGGCTGCAATTACGTATCCGCTGCGTCAGAAGAATCGTTCATGGCAACAGTCAATCGCTTGCGCATTGGTGCGTTCACACGGTTTAAATGCAACCCAGACACCATACTGTGCAGTAGCACCGGATGCGCAGAGCAAATATGAGGGAAACTATATATTAAGAAAAGGCGCATGAGCAAAGGAGCCATATTTCAGCAACTTCCACCAGCAGCATGTCTTTTATTGGTGTGGCAGTATTGACCAGCCTTCCTTTTCGTTGCATCGAAACGGTGGCACATTCAACAAGATGGCCATTGGGCAATGTCGAGGATTTTGAAACCCAGCTATACAAATCTTGAATACGTGCCCTGAAAAGTTGGCTGAATATGCCCGATACAATTTGTATTAAAAGGAAACACGGATGGATCCACGTGACTTTCAGTTTGGCAGGCCTCAATGCACCGTTGGCAGTGAGCGCGTGCCATAGAATGCCGGGGGCCTGTGGTTGGCGCCGTTCCGGGTCGTTAGTGACACTGAGTTTGCTGTTCTAATGGCAGAACGGCCTGTTTCAGTAAACCTATTATTAAGTGCGGCGTCAGCAAACTTTGTCAGTGCCGTAAATGTCACCTCTTCTCGTCGAGGTGCGCAACGTAACAGCCATTTCGTGGCGCCTGGAATCGAGATCCGAAAGGCCGACGCGCGCGATCGAGCGGAATGGCATCCATTGCTCTTGGGATGTTTTGGGGAAGGGAGAAGCCGCGTGCTTGCTCAAGCGAGGGCGCTCTCAGCCCCTCCGCTTGGCAAAGGGCTTCGCACACCAGTGGAAACCGACATTCCTGCGATGCAGATTGCAGGGCCACCTGGGCATTAATTGATGGCATCACACCCACTTTTTGTACTATCGCAGTAACAGTGATGACGCCACTTCGTGTCAAAATGATATCGCAGTTGGCACCGCAAACATGGTGCTTTCTGATAGGGACGGCTTGGATAGCTTCGCTGGCCGTTCCATCGCCTAGCGACAATGCTCCACTTGGCTGCGAATGCTCGCGGCAAAATGCGCAAGATCTTCTCGGCCATGGGCCCGCGATCCTTGCTAAGGTTTGCACTCTGAAAGGCGAGTGCAGTGAGCTCCACATGTCGCCGATCGCTTAGCTTTGTTGCGCCTTTAGCGTGGTGCGCCCATCCCTCCAGCCGTGGCCAACCAAGGTATGGCCTTGGCGCCAAGTTCATGGGCGTTATGCCTGGCAGCTGGGTGCCTTCCGCAAGGATTGCAGCTGGAATCCGCCCAGGGTCGAACCTACACACGACGTCGTGTGTCTTCAACGCTTTCACAGCCGCCAGAGTGCCCCCTTGGCGCCGCCTTGGCCCTGTCACAAGCTCGCTGTTGGTTTTGGTGCCGGCCCCCACAGACGCGCTTGTGACCGTCACGGGGCCGTGGCAAACGACGCATTAATCCTCGGACATGCAGCGAGCGCCGTTTCGTCACATAACCCGGAAGGGACCCACAGGGAGGGGCGCTGATGAAACCGAGCGGCGTTGGTTGAAACCGGTCCACCTTTGCGGTGACCCCCTGATCATGGGCTCGAATCCCACCTCCGATTCCACTTTTCGCAGACATAACAAGTGCTCGGCAGCGCGGCGTCCCTGAGTCCGTTCCCAGTCCCTGTGCCGGGGACCGGCGATCGTAGAGCCGAGGCGTGTGGAGGAACTTTGAATATCGCTCCTGTTCTATCTCCTCCACGGCGATGAATGATGAACTTTTGCCGCTGCGGTGAACGACTTCCCCCACAGCGTTTCATTTGGAGCGCTTGCATATGCACAATTTAGCTGCTCGGACAAACTTAAACCCGCGCTCGAATTTTCCTAGTGAGGCTGCAGGATTTGAGGCGCAGGAACAGCGTCAAGAACAGACACTAAATTTGAAAAGGATGCAACGCAGCTGTCAGGTGTTAATTTAATGTAATGTAATTGGATATCATTCTTGTTGAAGCTGGCTATGCGCTTCGTGCTGTCCTTTGATGGCCACCGCTGTTGGGCCACGATGACTGGCGTCGCGTCGCCTTGCCGCGTCGCAGCAATCAACTTAGCAACAGTTTTGAAGAATTAGCCGGACTAGAACAAAAAGATGTACCGTCGCACGAATTGTTCTGCACGGCAGTGTTATGCACAGCGATTTTTAGCCGCGTTTACAGCTTGCATCGAAACATTTTCTGAGTTTCACGTATTCTGAGGGAACAGAGTGATTTTTCCAGTAGGTTTTGTGAATTCAATAAATTGTTGGATCGCATACAATTGCGAATGTCAAATTGAACCCACATACTTTCCTATGTCAGGAATTAAACAAAATGAATTTCAGCTATACTGTAATTGTATCAAGTTCTGTTGTTTTTCGTTGAAACCCCAACCGGAGCACCTACTGTGCGTCTATTAATTGTTATCAAAACAATCACAAAGAACGGATAAGCACAAGCCGTTCGGAGCTGCATTGAAGGAGCCTTAGTCAAGGGCGAAATTCGACCCTCTCTCACTGCATTCCCCGCCTTTCAAAAATTTCGGACCGTGTTCGGGATGGCCCCGCATGGCAATGGTGCCACTTCCTCTACATCAGAAGGGTACAGCGCCATCCCCGCTCGGGATCTAGCTAGAGCCAAATCGCGGCCGAACTACTAAAAAGTGGTTCGTCAGCTCCCAAACTGACGCACTGCAACAACTACATGCAATCGCTGGTGCCTGACTGCCTTTTTCCAGCCACTACGTGTTCTCTTTCTTCCGGTGGTGGCCAAAGTCGTGCCGGCTTCCACATATTCCTTCAAGATCTCTATGCACTGGCACCAAGGAAGATAAATAACATGAGAGGGTAAAGTACGGGCAGGATTCGAAGGCGAGAAAAGGGGGGGCCGCACAGTCATCCAGCTTGAGATATGTGGCGATTTGGAGAAATCGACGACGAGAGGGGCGGTGTCTGTGGGCGGATGAAGTGTTTCTGTTGCTCTGGTCGGCGATCAATTTGTAGCTATGCCTAGCAGTGCCTTTGTGAGGGCGGGCGTAGAGATGTGCATGTTCAATATAGCAAAGCGAACAATGCGCCATATGCCATATGGTTGGAGCTTCGATGAGCTTGCCGATTTCATGCTTGCATAGTTTTGCTGCATGTGTTCTGCGCTTGTTGGTGTTGGTTGCCTTTAGCCACGTCCCTGTCTTGCTGTGCAAGTGCTATATGGCAAGTTATTTTCCTGGTGTGTGGCAGTTGCTACAAGGCAGGTGGATATACAGCGAGTTAGAGCAATGATCGCGCTACGGTTCTATTATGAAATTGCATCGTTCGCAGCACGGCATGCAGTATAGGTCGGGCCAGCCGGAATTTGCCACCCGGCAAGAAAGAAATTCATCCAAAGCAGAATAATTTCTTGGTAGAAATTCGGCTGAATTCGATTAATCAGGATTGTCCTGTTCAACGGTTCTATCCACATCAATTTGTGTCATCATTAATTAGATCATATTTCTACTCCAACATACGTGATTGTTCGATTAGCATACAGACAGATAAGAAATGCATGCCCAAATTAAAAACAATCACATGTAGTACTACTGAGGTCGCCTCCATCCTTACGCCACTCTGTCCCACACTCGAACGGTTTTGTCAGCAGACGCAGAAAAAAGACATTTGTCAATGACCGCCATCGCCGTCACGTAACCAGTGTGCCCTTTGAGGACTCGGATGCATTCCCAAGTGCCGAACCTCCACACCCGAATGGTCATGTCGTACGATCCTGAAAACAACAAACCACCCCCGACTGCCAATGACCGTACCCAACTAGTGTGCCCACTCAGCTCCCTGATGCAAACCCAAGTGGCAAGGCTCCAAACACGAATGGCTCCAGTGTAGTCCCCCGAAATCAGAAAGTCACCACTGACCGCCAAAGACAATACCCAACTAGAGTGCCCTCGAAGCACTCGCTGGCACTCCCCATCCCCCCATCTCCATATTCTGATGGTCTGATCATCAGAGCCGGAGAACAAGAAGCGGCCGTTGACGGCCAATGAGTAAATGTAATGGGTGTGTCCTTGGAGCATGCGCTTGCACCTCCACGTGCCGACACTCCACATGCGGATGCTCTTGTCGTCAGAACCAGAGAACAAATGGTCTCTAGTCACTGCCAGTGTCCGCACCCAATTGATGTGCCCTTCCAGAATGCGCACACACTCCCAGGTCTCCAGCTTCCACACCCTCACAGTCTCATCAGCCGACCCAGAGAAAAGATATTCACCATTGGCTGACAATGACACCACATAGCCCGTATGCCCCTCGAGCACTGACTGGGTGGACTCCCAATGCCCCAATCTCCACACACGAATTTTTCTGTCATAGGATCCAGACACCAGCCAGTCTTTGGTCACGACCAGCGACTGCACCCAGTTCTCGTGCCCCTTGAGGACGTGCTCGCATCGCCAATCTGGATCTTTGGACGCTTGCCCACTGTGGCCATGCGCTTCCTGTTGTCCCACACAGGTCACGGAAAGTCAAACGGCAGTACCATCTCTAATTGAAAATAAATCCACTTGCACAGACTATACCACCTTCTATTTAGCAATGCGTGGCCAAATTTACTTGAACATTTAATGTATGAATTGCACATGTTGCCAATGTGGCGTTGGGTCAGCGATGCATGCCATGGAGACCCTGCAAAGTGTTTATTGCCACCCAGGCTGCGACGGAGGAACTGTATGATAGACATGAAACGGGAAGTAGTGGGACTCAGATGGAAATTATGAACTAAATAACATGCTCATCATTAGCTCGGAAGGGGAGCTTAGAATCATGCATGTTAAGGGTAGAGGTGTGAAAGGGGAATGAGACACGAAGCACAGAGAAAATGGTGTCCAGACAGGCACTCGTGAAAGGGACACTCAAAGAGTTTGGTGCATGTTTTGGGACAAATTGCTGGGCAGCAAAAAATGAAGCTGTCCTGTGGGGGGCCGCCTATAAGGGGAATCTGTTGTATGCGCGCCATTCTGTAACAATTGACATGAACCCATTGGCAGAGCCCCAGTGGCCTGCTGGCCATGGGTTGGACTCGACCTGAGGCAGCAGTCTAATGTGTGACATGCCTGTGCAAGGACATATCGAAGGGCCCGCGGTCACATAGACCCTGAACTGCCTAAAAGTTTTCAAGTCGCGTTTTGGGTATCCGAGGCGATTTAAATCCAAGTATGCCATCACCAAAACATATCGACTCGCATTACAATTTAATGCATTGTGTACATTGTCACAATCACGCACAGGGATATTTCTTCAGCTTCATGATGGAGACGTGGATGTTAACATGCATTCCAAAGTTTCGAACTGGCATTAGTCGGACTAATCTCCTCATTTTAAGTAGCGCATCCATGTGGATTTGGGCATCTAGATGCCTGTACAGGCGAGCAACGACGATGAGCACTTTTAGCAAATGGACCCATTTGCTAAAGTGCTCATCGTCGTTGCTCGCCTGTACAGGCATCTAGATGCCCAAATCCACATGGATGCGCTACTTAAAATGAGGAGAGAATAATTTATATGCAGACAGCCAGGTGTGGAAATGCCCAGAATGTCTAAATTGTTTTCTGAGCATCTGGCACTGTTTTAAAGTCCAAAACTGTTGATACCAAACCCATCGACTTGCATTGACAAATAATGCATTTCTTGCATATACAACAAAGACATTAAAAATGGATTGCTTGTCCAATAAATGCACAGAAAGTTTGTATCGCCAAGGCATCAAGATTGTCAATAATAGTGCATGGCCAACATTCACCTTACTCAGAGGTTGCTGATAAGGACTCCAGTTTTCTGGCAGCTCTTGCAAACATTGGGTGATTTCCATCATGGTTGGCCTTTGTGCAGGGTTGATGGAGCAACAGCGCTGCATGAGCAGCCGCATTTCTTCAGGACAATCTTCAGGTCGTACTGTGCATGGCTCTGCACCAGACAGCTTCCTCTTCATCACTGTAGCATTTCTTACATCAGCGCGCATCAGTTTGTCTGCTCCATATGGGTGTGTTCTTGTCACTACCTCATATATGACAACCCCAAAGCCAAAGATGTCAGATGGGCCTGAGGTAGGCTTCCCTTCATACAGTTCGGGTGCCATCCACTCCAGTGTTCCTCCTCCCAACCTGGTCGTCTTGCTCCTCCCTTTGACAGCTTCAAATGCAAGTCCAAAGTCTGTGATCTTCACATTGCAGTTTTCTGGATCCATCCCAAATATGAGAAAGTTCGAACTTTTGATGTCTGAATGGACAACAGGAGGAGAAAGCCTGTGCAAGAAACATAACCCTTTTGCGGCCTGCCGGAGGAGGTTGAGTGTTCCTCTCCAGCCAATTTTCATTGAGCTTTGACATAAAGCCCCAAGATCCGTGTCCGCCTTTTCCATGACCAACCATCCAGATGGAGTGGTTGCAACCACCTGGACAACATTGGGGTGTCTGAGCTTCGCATGCACAAACACTTCCTTGACAAAACCTGCAAACTCTTCAATTGGCAAGTCACCTTCAGCAAGTGGCCTCTTCACAGCCACTGCATCATTGCCCCACTGTGCCTCATACACAAGACCATATCCACCTTCACCTATCTGCCTGTGCAGGGCAAGAGCATCTTCAGCAATGATCAACAAGAGTTTCAGCTCATCTTCATGGGCGCGCTTGATGGGCATCCACAGATGGAGCAAGTTCTTGTCGACACCACTCTCCTTGCCTTTGAGGATGTACCAAAGGAGTTTGTGCAAGTACTCCCTGTCATCCCTGACACAGCCTGTGGGCACAGCACCTTGAAGCTCTGAGGCAAAGTGCATCTGCCATTTTTGAGCCAGCGCCCGCAGAAACCCACAGGTTTCATCAACAGTTTTGCGGACATCGTCAATCTTGTAGAAGGTTCTGATGTCAAATGGCTCCGAGTGCTTGATGAGCAGCCTGTTTGCCTTTTCAATGCACAGACAGAAAGCTTGCCATTCTTCTGTTGTTGCAACAGATGGTCGCTCCAAATCTTTCACTCTTTCCAGCTGTTGATGGAGGAAGGACAGCATGTGGTAGTTGTACTGCAGCCCTTGCAGCACACCGTGGCTTGCCTACAGCAGCACAAGATTCCGATGTGTAAGGGCCCCAGGATACAGAACATGGTTCCATTATTTTGGCAAAGTGCAGGGCAAAGTGCAAATTCTATCGGAAAGAAATGCAGAGTGGCCCTGCATGTCCCCAGTCCACAATTTTGCAGCTGCAGCATAGCATCAACGGGATCCAATCTCACTAATGCCATGCGCCTTCTGCTGCTATTCCATGCAACAAGACTTGAGCTTGATGGGCCCTCTGTCACAAATCGGGGCAGCGCAGCCTGCATCGCCGATTGTCTATCAGCGAGGCATTGCGATCTCCGGCACTCCCCACCAACTCTATCCCCCATCCAGTTCTCGGGTGTATGAAGACGTTTGCCGTCTCACGACGTCGCAGTGGGAAAATCAATCGGGTTCGCCTCTGTAGCCACTGCCGCGCAATGCACCATGCAGCGGCGCGCGGCGCCCATTCGGGGTGGTGCATGGGACCTCACATTCGCTGGCGGCGAGGCCCCGCTCCTATCTGCAGAGCCACCCGGGGTTGGCGGCAGGGCGCCTCCGTTTCCCCCCTGGTCGGGTTGCCGCCTGCCATGGCCACTTCCCTCCATCGCGTCTCGATGCCCCGTGTCGAGGGCGCAACCGTCCTTGCTTTGAGCACGCCCACCCGCGGGAGCCCTGCGAGACAGTGGGGAGACGGAAAACGGTGAGCGCCTCGGCTGGGCTCTGGACGGTGCTTCGGCCTCGCCCCCGAGGCACTGCACGGCATCCACACCACCGCGGGAGAGACGCACCTGCCGATCTCGAACAACCCACCGCGCGCCGCTGGGCGTCGAGCTTACGACCCGGCCGCGCCTCTCTCGATCCGTAACAGCAGCCTATTTTGGGATCCACCAATCCGTTCGCAGGGCCCACGAGCCCTACCTGGCCATCGGCATCACCGCAGGCGTTGCCGGCGCGGACGCCCTGGTTGCGCACAGCAGCTTACCTGCGTCCGGCGCTCCAGCGCACCGATCCGACTCCAAGAGGCGGGAGCGCTCTTCGACGGGACCCCGGCGGGGCCGCTCACTCCCTGGCGCCCGCAGCAAGGGGGGCCTGTGAAGAAGTGGAGAACAAGATCACAAAAAGTGGGCAGGGAGTTCAGGGTGGCGCGCAGTGGTGTGGGTCGCGGTTTGCGGATATGGTCTGTTCGTTTGCGGCCTCTTCTGGGGGCCCGGAATGGTTCCTGAAAACAGTCATGCGCGAGGGACAGTTGGCCGAAAGCGGGACGCGGGACGCGGGATGCGGGACGCGGGCACGGCATGGTCCAGAAGGCAAGCATGGCCTGCCTCCTGCGCGTTGAGTACTGGCTGGAACTTGGACTCATTCAGGAGAGTCTGCCAGATCTCGGTAAATGGCGTTGGACGCGGACCCAAGCAGGACAGACGTGTGCAGGAACTGCATTGTGTTGCGGTGCCCGTTTGACGACGCTGTTTTCAGGAGAGCCCCAGCTCGGTCGCAAGCACCTGCTATTGAACAAAGGTCGTTGTAAACTCTGTGCTCACGGTGTCGATGGTGAACTTGCCAAAGCAAAGTGGTCCATCGTACACAGGCGTGCACTGATTAAGTTTCTGAGCCCAAAATTACTGTACATCAATAGTTTTGAGGTTCAGCGAAGTATGGTCATAAATCACCACAGCAAATGCAGCATTGCAAGAGTCGCTCATCTTCACTCAGCTCCTAATTCACGTCGATGTCGACCACCCGTTTCAGTGGCCGTGAATATGAGCTGCACGTCGTGCACCGCACGGCTCCGATCACTGGGAAAAAAAGGGCCAAATAACACGTGTTCAAACGTGTACAAAGTTCACGGGTTTCTGTTCTTATCGTGCAGAAATTTGATGAAATGCGTCTTATGCGTGTTCGCAAAAGTGTTGTTTGGTCCTTTTTATGCTAATGGATAGATGACGCCAATTGCGCCGAAGCTTCTAGATCAGTCCATGCTTGTCAAACGCCGTCTGCTGTGCACAGATAACGAACTGGGGACGAGCTTGGTAAGCACACCTCGTTCACAATCAAAATAAGCAAGAATACCATGCTTTGCTTCACCCATCTGTTATCAATCCGAATGAAACCGTAGCTTATCCAGCCCTTCAGCTAGTGCGCTGATACGTGTACTATGGCAAACCCGTAGAAAACGCGCATTTTAGCAAAAGCTTGTCTAAATTGTAATCAATCTGACGAATTAATTCCTGCGACTTGCGAAGTGCATCCCGCGGACCTGCGACCAGCGCGTCGTGACACCTGGGGATCTGGGCGCACTGTGGATGCAGTCGCGAGCTAGTGTCCGCGCCAAAGGCCCTCGCCACGGTAAAACACTTCGCGGATGCCACGACCCAGGGTGCACGTGTGTGTACTACGTCACGCTAGCAA